TCCATCTCTTAGCTGACAGTTAAATTCGGGTTTAATTCCATTCAGCCACATTACTGAGGATGTACAGGAAGTTCCATGACCCTCTGCTCCTTGGGACTAGCCTGCTTCTGGCATTCTACTAGACTGAACCACAAAAAACCGCTGTGTTTTGAATGTCAAAAACAGTCAAAATATCAGCTATGACTCAACCTAATAAATCCAGAATTCTAAATGTATTCATTTAATTAGGGGGAGAGAATGAGGTTATCATGAAGATTACCAAACTTTTTCCAGGTAAGACATAGAGAAGGTCAATTTCCTGCCAAATTAGTGGTTTAAACTTGAAGTTCTCACTGAGACACTTGGCTCCCTTGGAAATAGATATTTGTTCTTTTCTACATGAGGCGTCCATGTATCACTTGGAAAGGAACCATACACCAGCTGGCTAAATTACCCACTTTTATAGATGAATGTCAACAAGAAAAAGGAGCTGTTGACTAAACACTCAGTGCCACAAAAGTACCCAAGTCCCAGGTAAAAAGGAAGATGTTATCTATGATATAAAATATAAAATGACAAATCAGGAAAAATACATATTCTGCTAAGTTCCAAACAGATAGATGGGAGTTAATGCCTTCAGGGAAATTTTAAAGTGTTGAGCTGTGCCATTTCCTAGCTGTGAAAATTCACCAATACTCTTTGATTGTTTATTAAAGGTTACGAACCATGCCTACTCAGTTTTATCAGATCTGTGCAGTAGTTCCTTAAGACTTCTTATAGTTTTCAAGCAAACTAGGGTTACAAAAATAAAATTCCTTTATAACTAAATTTTAGGAAAGAAAACTGAAAGGATTTAGGCATTAGCATTCCTTTCTATTAAAATGTAATTAATTTCCAGCACAATAAACTGAAGAGATAGTTATTATCCATCTTTCAATGGGTATTAATGGAAACTAACTTATGTAGACAGGGTAGGGCAAAAGCAGGTTTACAGTTGAGTACGCAAAAGTTTATTCTTGTATTATTATGTATTCTTGTATGATTATTTATTAATTATTTTCCACATAAACAACTGATCTACTTTTGCCTCACCCTGTTTATACATTTGTTTACAAGGTGATATAACTGCCATTGCTAGATGTTGAAAACATTAAGAGAAATGAGGTAAAATATTATCAAATGAATAACAAATATATACAACCACAAGAATTTGCTTACCTGTAATACAAATTTCTGATCTATGTATTTTTTGGCAATGCTGGGTTGGAATTCTTGGCTTTCCAAAAATCGTATGAAAAATTCATATACAAGCTGCAACAACACAAATTCAAATTATAATACACTGAGAATAGTATCAAAAACCATGTAAAGCCTGCAACACTAAAACTGACAGGTCTTAAATGTTGATTCGCTATGATATACATCTGAAGCTAATATAACATTATACATCAGCTATACTTTAACTTTTTTAAAAATCTGTAAAAGAAAACATGACTGGGCTTAGAAAATTGGGTTTTAATATAAATGGACTATTTATGCTAGCTAACCGTTCATTGTGGCTCACAGATCTGTTATGTTTTTTAACTTTTTAAGTTAAAAATTAGGAAATATAAAACATTCCAGAATTTTTAATAGTCACTGAAATATTTCCTTTCAGAAACTTTGTGGCAATTTACACTCCTCTAAGCAACACAGAATGGCAGAATATTCTCATCTGCAAAGAGTAAGAACATTCTCATCTGAAGAGTCAACCTTAATAACTGTTCTGATAAACAATAGGAGATCATTGTTTATGCTGAAGTATACACAAGGTCCTAGTATAGTACACAGTAGTATATTAAAACAAAAACTTTTAAGAGACAGACAGACATTGGGGTGTAAGCCCAGCTCTGTTCCTTACTAACTGTGTAGCCCTGGGCAAGTTCATTTCTCTACACAGGAACTAACTTAAATCACCACTGTCACCGTTGCCTAAAACAACACTTTCAAACTTTTTAGTCTCACTTTACAGTTAAAAATGATGAAAGACCCCAAAAAGCTTTTGTTTATATGTAATATAGAATATTTATATTATAGTATAATTAGAAATAAAAACAAAAACATTTTAAATATGTATTTATTTCATTTTAAAACAAATAAAACATATTACGTGTTAACATAAATCATATATTTTGTTATAATAACTTTATTTTCCAAAATATCATTGAGAAGAGAGGTACTGCTTTTTACTTTTGCAAATCTCTTTAGAGGCATGTTAAAAGACAACTATAGTTGTCTTATCTGCTTCAGTATTCAATCTGTTTGGATTTAAGTAGATAAAGAAAATCAAGCTTCACACAGATCTAGCCCATATCATATTTTCAGTCTTTTCATATAATTGGGATATTTTTCTTTGAAACCACACTACAACTAGACAAACAGTCGTTTCTTAAAGATGATGTGCAATGCAGAATGTGAAACCTTACCAGTGAATGCTTCATACTCTGTTACACTAAATTCCAATAGTCTGTCTTACACTTTGAATGGATCTTTATCCATGTGTGATTTCCTAATATCATTTACTGGCCAACTGGAAAACACTGATTCACTGTGTTATGTGAATCTTCAAATGTTGACACATTTCACTAGTCACATTCCTTAATATCTCCAATTTTATCAAAAAAGTCTAAGCTTTTGGAACCTGTAAAGTTCAAGGTGACACATACAAGACAGATACAAGTCTCTCAAATTTTAATTCTAAATTTTGTTTGAATGCTCTGTATTAGTGACAAAAATTGTTTTCTTTGTCTATTTTAGAAAAAATATCCACCAAATACTCAAGCGGGAATAATCCTAGACTGTCAGGTATTCCTTCAGGTAAAAACAACATTTCATGAAAAAACAGCTTGGCTCGCAGCTCAAAGCAATCACATAAGTGCTTCCACAAAAGACCCCTTTGCACTTCGGTAAGCAGCAGAGGTGCTTTGTGCATGCTTTCCATTCCTTCATGAAGAATATTTTTTTACCTGTGTATTCAAAGGTCAAGATTTAATAAAATTAATAATTTTGTTGCTTCTTCAAGGACATTCTTTTTGGGGGGAGAGGGATGAATATTTCACATTTTCTAAATAAGATAGATTATTTACATTTTATTTTATTTTTTTTTTAGTATATTTTTATTGATTTCAGAGAGGAAGGGAGAGAGAGCGAGAGCTAGAATCATTAATGATGAGAACCATCTACTGGCTGCCTCCTGCACGCCCTATACTGGGGATCGAACCCACAAACCGGGCATGAGCCTGACCGGAAATCAAACTGTGACCTCCTAGTTCATGGGTCAATCCACACCTGCCACGCTCCACTGGATTTTTTTTTTTAATCCTCACCCGAGGATATTTTTCCATTGATCTCTAGAAAGAGTGGAAAAGAGAGGGCAAGACAGAGAAAAATATCGATGTGAGAGAAACATTGATTGATTGCCTCCTGAATGCACCCTGACTGGGGGTCAAATCCAAAACCTAGGTATGTGCCCTAACTGGGAATTGAATCCTCACCCTTTTGGTGTTTGGGACCATGCTCCAACAAACTGAGCCACCTGGCCAGGACTCCCATTTTTTTACAGCAGGCCGATGCTGAGCCAAACCGGCTAGGGCTACACTTGATTTTTTTTAAATGCCTTATTAAGCAGAAGAGACTTCACATAATCAGTTTCTTATTGAACAAAGGTCATCATTATAATATTCATTTCAAGGATATTCTTAGTTGAAATTGCCATTTTTTTTTTATTGCAAGTACGTGGCAGTGAAGAATAAGACTTCTAGGCCAGTTTGACACAACTGCCTTGATTTGTGCTGAGGCAACAAACAATTTCAACCACCACCACTTTACAGCTATTAGTAAAAATAGCAACACAGTGAAAAGAGCAAATAATGAAGTATTATTATAAAACTAGTTTTGACGGCCACTAGTTTAGGCCACGAAAATCATGTTTCAGGGCCTGCAGATACCACTAACCCAAACGTATCATATAGTAACCTTCTAACTTCAGACACTAATTTAATACTAGATTCACATTAAAATTTTACTCTTTATAAAACTACTAGAGGCCAAAATCTACTAGAGGCCAAATTTCAATGCATGAAATTCGTGCAAGAATAAGCCTTCCTTTTCCCCAGCTGCCAGCACCAGCTTCCCTCTGGCACCCAGGACCCACGCTTCCCTCGCAGCCCCGGCTTCATCTGGAAGAACATCCGGTCTAATTAGCATATTACACTTTTATTATTATAGACTAGAGCCCTGTGCATGAAAATTCATGCCCTGGAGGGGGGGGGGGTCTCTCAGCCCAACCTACCCCGCCTCATAGTCCAGGAGCCTCAAGGTCGGGAAGCAACCCAGCAATCAGGTGAAGGCAATGCCCCCATCACTCCTCTGCTGCTGCCAGTGCTGGCAGCGCAAGCCTTGGCTGGCCCTGGTTACCTGAGCCTTGGGGATCCCTGGGTGGCTGGGCAGCCAACATCCAAGGCTTGCCTGTGCCTTGGGCCAGCCCTGGGAGACTGGGCAGTCACCATCCGAGGCTTGCCTGTGCCTCAGGCTGGCCCTGAGAGGCTGGGCAGCCTTGCCACACGTCTGCCGCCCCAGTGGGGCTGAGGGGACTGGGCCCCACCATCTTGTGGCTGTGGGCACCGCCATCTTTGAGAGCAGGGCAGTCAACTAGCATATTCCCTCCTTATTGGTTGTGGGCGCCGCCATCTTTGCAATAGCATGAGGGTCAATTAGCATATTCCCTCTTTATTAGATAGGATGTTTTTGTCTTTGAAACTCTGCTTTCAGAAAATCTCCTTTCCCAATGATCTGAAGAAGACTGTCCAGTTGTACATGTCCTCCTAGTCGTAGTAACTAACACCTGAGTCCCAAGACCTTCTAGAACCATTCTTTTCTCAATATACTAATCTTTGAAATTGTAGTTTTACAAATAGAATGGAAGGCTTTTTCAAGTAACCCATTCAAGGGGTTTCATCTGTCTCTTGACTCCCACAGAGTGGAGAGATTCTTGTCTTCCAGACTGGACTGCCTGGCTTTCCACCAGAATTGGCAAAGGGCTATCTCCCCTCCAGTCCCTTGAAAACAGGTATGGTTTCAAACAGTTTGGTGAAAACACCTGAAACACATTCATTAATAAACCTAAGTGTTCTATAGACTTAAGAGACAGGTTTTACTTCAATCAAAAATCCCTCTTGCCTTTCTAAAGGAAGACTGGGGATTTGGGAAGGATCAATTGGTTTTCAAGGTCACATAAAAGAATTCACTAAGGAACATAAATAAAAAGACTTCAGTATTCTTGTTTTTCAGTCTCAGGTGAAAAGCATTAAAAACAATCTCTTAATTGTAAATTGGAAGTCCTGTAAAATCATAGCCTTTTTGTTTGTTGGTGGGTTGACTGGTTTTGTTAATCCTCACCCAAGGATATTTTTCCATTAATTTTTTTAGAGAGAGTACAAGGGAGAGAGACAGACAGAGAGAAACATCTATTTGAGAGAAACAAGTTGAATCTTTAAAGACAGCTCTTTTCCTGTCTCTTATACCATAAGATGTGGAACTTTCCGGAGATTATGTTTTTTTGTTTTCTTTTTAATTTTTTTCCAGACTACAATGCAATTCTATAAACTGCTGCCTTGCATCTATACTAATAAAAGTGTAATATGCTAATTAGACCAGACATCTTCCGGACAAAGCCACGGTGACAGAGGCCGAGGCAGAGGCAGTTAGGGGCGATCAGGAAGGCAGGGGGAGCAAGTAGGAGGCAATCAGGCCAGCAGGGGGGTGCAGTTAGGGGAGATCAGGCCAGCAAGGGAGTAGCTAGGGGGTGATCAGGCCGGTAGCGGAGCAGTTACGGGGCGATCAAGCAGCAGGGAAGCAGTTAAGGGGGCGATCAGGCCAGCAGGCAGAGGCGGTTAGGGGTGATCAGATAGGCAGGTAGGCAGGCAAGTGGTTAGGAGTCAGCAGTCCCGGATTGCGAGGGGGATTCCTGGATTGGAGAGGGTGAAGGCCAGGCTGAAGGACCCTCCCCGAAATGTGTGCACCGGGCCTCTAGTTAAGAATAAGACATGACAAGGAATCCACCCATTCAAAAGAGTAATTCTTTTTTGGATTTTTGTCACGTAAAAAGCACTAATAGTTTTTGCAAATTTCTTAGAATGTATATAGCACGTCTGGCACTTTAAAAAAAAAACAACACCAGGCATCTAAGTTAGTAAATCAATGACAGCATTTTAATTTACTAATCTTGGCACTAGTAGGATAAATATATATGTATAATATGCCTAGATAAGAGT